TTGTAGCCTAGAATGGGAGAAAAACACTGCTTAGGATTTCAGTGGAGAGGCTGAATTGTCAACTCAAACAGGAAGCTAGGAGCTCGCATGATTTCTGGGAGGATCTGACTTCGGGGAAAAGTGCATGTGTTGCATAAATGTCCTGCTTATGTTTTTCTTTTTATTAAGCCCTCTCTTCTAACCTCCTATCATCAAATGCTGAAGCCTCAGTGGGTAGTAGAGGCTCTAGTTTTTGTCTGTGAAGGTTCTTATTCATCCAGGTCATGGTATATCTGTAAAAAATAAATAAAAGCAACTGGACTTGCTGTATTTTTTTTGAAGACATTTCACTGGTCATCTGACTAGCTTTCTCAATTTAGAAAGTCTGGCTTTTGACTGTAGAAAGGCAAGTGGCAATGATCTTGGCATCGAAAGAGGTGGGACTTGATCTTACTTTAAAGAGGTTTCCTTTTATATTTTATGTAGAGTTCATTTTTAAATTCAAGATTCATGCCTGACTAAGAATTACTTTCTAGGTTATAACTTAGCACTTATATATATATATTTATTACACCATTATGTAGGACAAAAAAACCATGGTACATACCGCAAGAGGCTTAGGATGATGCCCCGAGTAGTAACAGTCTAGTTTTTCTGTTTCTTCTGCACCTTCAGCTTCGCCTTCATCACTAGAGAGTCGATTGGCCAGATCACCTGCCACAGAATTTACAGCAGGCTCCGCAACAAACCCACTATGGTTTGAAGAACTCGTGCTATTGAGGCTATTTACAGAAGATGGTCTAGAAATACGGAAAATACAAAGTTACATTTGCAATTCACATATACTCTATGTTGTTTCACATACAAAAAAATTATCCTCAGAATATTGTTCACTCAGCAATGTCAGCAGATAAATTATTCTTTAATTTGTAATAATGTCTTAGCCACGCAAATTGCTCCCTCAGGCATCCACATCACCACACACTCTCCACTCTACCTTAGCTCTATTTCCAGTGTCTGTACTAGCTTCTGTCCCATCCTTCCCCACCAGTGGTGTATTTTGGTTTTGTGCTGCCCTAGGCAAGACTAAACTCGGGCACCCCCCTCAATCTAAAGAATACATTGCAGTTCCCAGCCTGCTTCTGGGACATCCCGACCTGCGGATCACATGCTATGGCAAGCCCCGAGCTACCCGCTGCTTCTCCTCCACCTCCTGTACAAAGCCAGCTGGACCACAACTCACTGGGCCCTCCCCTCCACCAGGCAGCTCTCTAATCAGTCGACCGCTCTATGGGCCGCCTAATTTGCCTCAATCGCCTCTGCCTGATTCTGTGCCGTCCAGCCTCGGCCCACTGGGCAAGTGGACAGTATGCCCAAAGGCAAGTCTGGCCCTGTCCGGGTAATTGGTTTGGGGTGGTGTTTTCTGCTGCCCTCCTGGAAAGTGCCGTCCTAGACAAATGCTTAGTTTGCCTTGCAGTAGATACACCCCTGTTCCCCACACTATACCACACTATAACTTCTCTTGCAGGTCTTTATCCACTCCCCATACTTGAGGCCTACACCTGTTAATATTTTTCTTCACCCGATCTTTTTCTACAAAACCATCTCCTTCATTCAGCACTATACACTTTCCAATCAACTTTTAAAAGAGAATTATGGGGTAAGTGTTTTCCCCATAGTTTTCTTTAGGGTCACAGGAGGAGGTCAGTATATGTCCTCCCGTGACCTCTAGGCTGTTCCAGCACTCTCTTTAACAGACCACAATCTTTTCATCCTAAAGAAGACTTTTATTAATCCCCATTTTACCAGGTGGGGAAAGGGGTGTGGCTAGTGTTTAAACAACCCCTGCCAATACCAATTGAATATATATATATATATCAGTGGCGTAACAATCCCCATAGCAACCCAGGCGGCCGCTATGGGGCCCCCGGGCACAGGGGGGCCCGGCCAGGACATCCCCCTGATGCCGTGTGGGCCACCTGGGTCGCTATGGCATTTCAGACTGCTGGCTGTCACTGACGACTGTGAGGAGAAACACGCAGCCATTCACATGTGCAGCGGCGCGTACCTCCTAACAGCTGCTGAGTCGATGACAACTAGCATCTTCGGGGGAGGTGGCTGGGCCCGTTGTCGGCAGCGATGGAGAAGGCGGGGCCCAGCGATCGAGGAAGCAGGTCTTAGCGATGGGGAGGCGGGCCCGGCGATCGAGGAGGTGAGGCCCAGCGGGAGGCGGGCCCAAGCGATCGTGGAGGAGAAGGAGGCGGACAGAGGATCGGCCAGACAGGTAAAAGAGCTTGACCGCCCACCTGAGACACTGCAGAGCTTACGATAGAGAGTCCATGGTGGGCTCTGCAGGGTCACCCTCAGATGGCCTGTTTGGGTTATCAGGTGGACTTATCTAGAAATCACAGGGCCCCATACAAGATTTTGTTTATGATGTGTAACTTACAAAGCTCAGTATATCGTGAGTTATTGCCCGCGATATACTAAGAGCGCCGCAGCCGGGACAGATCCCGACAATACTGTCTGGATCCACCCAGCTGTGTGAGTGATAGCTGGCTCTGCCTATCTCTCAGAGAGGAAAGGGGGGAATCCCTGCGGGGAGAGGTGGCTGACAGTCACCTCTCACTGCAGGAAGATGATCGAAAAGTAAGCGGATCGGTGCATGTTTCTGCTCACTTCCCGATCAATAGAGTCAATCTGTGACAGCTTCTTTGTCACAGGTCGGCTCTAACTATGAGGATGAGTGAAAATCACTCACCTCATAGTTCTACTTTAATTCTACTTAGGGGCTCATTTAAAAAGCAGAGGTATGGCCGTACTGTGATCATACTGTTACTTAAAAAACAAAGAGAAAAACGAATTTGTAAAGTACAGCAGTCAGCCGAAGCCAATGGAGCACAATAAATGGGAATGGAAGGAAAAGGGAAAAAAATGGTGGGTGGAGAGCCCAGTCAAGTTACATGACTGGCTCTCCTCCAATCAAAGAGCTCTCTTTGGTGCATTAACGCAGAGAACTCCATGGGGTACCAATTGCTCTATCCCGCAGTCCTGTATCTTGTAAATGGTCAGTAAAATTTGGGTCAAGGTGTGTGTAGCGGAGAGGAGTATATTGCAACAATGTCTCTGGCATGCTGTCTCATTCTCATTTCTTAGTGCTGTTATTTCTGCAGGATGTTAACTACCAACACAATATTCTGGTGCACATAGTGGAGGCAATTCTCAAGCACATATGAAATGTCACCTGAGATTTCATAAATATGCAAGAGTTCAATTTTTGTTAATCCTTGTCACTTTCCACTGAATCCTACTCCCTTGTCACTGGTGTGTCACGGCTATTTAGGAGAAACCAAATAACCTACCAGCATGTTTTTGGTTTGTTGGGGGCAATCAATGAATCTGGAGGAAACCCACACAAACACCTGGAGAACTTTTACTCTCCATTTAAATAAAGCCCTGGGTCCTGGATTCAAACACCACTAAAGATGCGAAGAGTGCTTTCCTTATGTGGAATGTACGTCTCATATCCAATTATGGGAAATGTTTCCATTGTGAGGATAAACAACATGTTGACCCACTACAGTCTTGTTTTGCATGTTTCTGGATCAACTAGACCTAGAATAATTTAGCTATGATTTACTTTGGTCCTTTTCAGTACTAACCATTAGAGGTGTGCCGAAATGAAATTTTGAGACCGAAACCGAAAATAAAAAAAATGTCAGGCTGAAACAGAATTTTTTTTTTTAACCTTCTAAAAAATTTTTTTTAATATTTTATTTTTTTCTAAACTTTTCATTTTTTTATATTTTATTTATTTTTATTAAATATTTTTCTTTGTTAACTTTACTGTTGGGGGCTTTGGTGAAATATCAGGGCCCCTGAAACACAGACCCCTAATATTTCCCTTTTACAATAGAAAAAGAGATTGAGGACACACAATCTTCAATCTCTTTTTTTGCAGCCCCAGCACTGAATGAACAGGAATCCTCTATACTGTACTGAGTGTTCCTGTTCATTAATAAATTGTGGGTATAGTATGTACACAATCATGAATGAATAGGAAGTGATGTAGATCACTTCCTTTTCATTCATAACTGGTACATAGTAACTCGTACTATGTACAGTTATTTACAAATACTCAGTGATCACTGATCGCTAACTGCTTGTACCCGCTCTCCATCCTAACTCGCTGTCACAGCTCAGCCGGTGGTGCAGGGAGGAGAGCTCAGTCTTATTTGACAGCTGACTTCTCACCGCCGACTCGGTCTCCAGTGACAGCTGTCTCCGCCCACACACTGCTTTCCTGATCTGTGCAGGAGGCTGAGCAGGGCGGTGTGGTGCCTCCTGTGACACGCTCACACTGCTCTCCTCCCCGCTCGGCTCCTGACAGCTTCTCTCCTCCACGCTGGCCACTGTGCTGTGTTCAGAGCAGACACAGAGCAGCGCCCAGCAGGGAGGAGAGAAACTATGGATGTACCACAATTTCGGCCGAAAGATGGCACGTTTGGCATTTTGCCAAAAGTGCCATTTTCGGCCGATATGTTTCGGTGGCTGAAATTTCGGTGTATCCCTACTAACCATTAGCTATACCATATGTATTTGTAATGAGAAATCAGAACTACATCTCGACTGTGGTTGCCAGCTGGAAAGCTGTAACAAAACGTTTGTCAATTCAATAAAAACTGGTGACATTGTTGGGGCGCATGCTGCTTCATGTATTAAATACCATATGTGTGTGCACTGTGTGGAAGATGGAGCAAGATAGTTTAAAGTACAGTCAGCAGTCCTCACCTAGGTAGGACAGAATTAGTAGGTCTGGCTTTTGCTGGGGATGTCACTTTGGGTTCAGGTACAGAGTTGGCAGATGGCCCTGATGACTGTTCTTGTGCTGGTGCAGACTGGTTCTGATGCGTTTCTCGGGAGTTCTGTGGATGTTCTTTATCTTTAGTCACCTCTTTTTCCCTCGATCGCGCTTTATGTTCGGCTAATAATACGTCAAATGGTTTCTTACGACCTGGCACAGCTCGTCTGTGGTAAAGGGAATGCGTCTACGAGCAAAAATAAAAATAAGAAAAGCTTGAGTAAAGAATAAACCAGACACAGTTAAAACAGGTTGTTCACAGAAAAAGCACTGTTAAAAACTTAGATCTTTGTTACAAACCTCTGCTGCAGATTTCTTTTGCTTCCAACAAAGCCCAAACAGCTGTACACTTGAACAGCCCAGACTATGCCCAAACAGGTAAAAGTTATCACTTTGCAATGGGTATAGATCACCTAACCAATCTCCTCCTTCTTGTAGCAGTTTACTTTGCTTCTTTATTTAAATAATAATGACAAGCAGCATAACAAGCACAGGCAGCAGATCCCTCAGAGTTAAATACTAAAGGGAAAAGAAGGGTGGTGGTATTCTTCCACTTGTACCATGAAAATTATTTTCAAGGAAACTTGCACTACGGAAAAAGTAGGCTGCTACTGTTGCCCTCCTTCTGAAAAACAGGAGTTTTGTCCCACATATCAGAGGGGCCCACATATGAGAGGAATCAACTGAAGAAATGTCACCAGCACACCAAAAATCCTTTCAGGATAACCACGTGTGTGACTTTTGGTGTGCTGGTGACATTTCTTCAATTGATTCCTGTAACCAGCGGTGCCATCCGCAGTCACTACAAGCACCCTCCCCTGTCATTGGGGCATTCGGTAAGGAGTGCAACAAGTTTATTTCTATATTCTGAACTCCACATATGAGAGGGCCACCTGAAGAACTTTTCAGCAAAAGCTATAAACCACAGGTCTAAACGTCCACCCGGTAAAACTTTGCAAACGTGTAAACAGAGGACCAGATGGGAGCTTTGCGGATTTGGGAAACTAAAACCTTATGCTGGAAGGCCCAAGTAGTAATAGCACGAGCCCTAGCTGGAAAGGGGGAAATATTACTTTTCAACTCATAGACCTGAGGGATAGTTTTCCGAATCCACCTGGGGAAGAGGGAGTCACACTTCTGCATGGGAGCTGTAGAAGACAGCTGTACACTTGAACAGCCCAGACTGTGCCCAAACAGTGTAGTGAAAATATAACTATAGCTGTACTATAAACAATAGGCAGAGACCACCTTCGGAAGAAGCAGACCATAGGCCTCAGAACTACCTTAGTCTTATAGACAACGAGAAAAGGCTCTTTACAAGTCAAGGCCACCAGCTCAGAATCACACTTGACAGATGGGATGGTGATGAGGAAAGCAACCTTGTGAGAGAGTAGTGTCAAAGGGACATATCTTAAAGGTTTAGAGAACCTGCAAGGCCAAAAGAAGTGGAGGTCCTACAGAGTCACCAGACTGTGTATCAGGGACACATGAGTGACAATCTGCACAAAGGCCTTCAATAGAGCGTGAGAGGGAATCAGCCTCTGGAGAATAGCCAAAGCAGAAATTTGGCCCTTGATCGTACTCAAGACTAATCACTGGTCTTGGTCAGACTGGAGGAAAGACCGGATGGATCCCACTGAGTACTTCCTGGGATTAAACTGTCCCCGCTCTGCACTAAGTGAAATAAAGAGGTGTGATGGGGAGAGGTCAACGTCTATCTTTGAAAGGCATATGGATGACAGATTCAGAGAGGCCTTTACGATTCAAGATCTGGATTTTAACAGCTATGTATTTATAGCTAGTAACCCAGAAGCAGGGTGGAATATTGGTCATTGGGACAGTAGGTCTGGACAATCTAGAAGTGCTCACGAAGTTTCTGCAAGGAGCTTGACTATGTCTGCGTACTATGTTCTTCTGGGCCAGCTGGGAGCAATTAAGATCACCGAAATGCCCTCCAACTCTATCCTGTGAAGGAGGAACAGATCCGCTGAACAAATCCCATGGACTCACCAAAGCACCCACAGTGAAGGCCTGGGGATGCCTGGTCCTGGTGATAAACCTGGCCAGCTTGTTGTTGAGTCCGGACGTCCACGTCCGGGGTCTGCCATTTGCAATAAAGGTCCCAAAACACGCCTGGGTGAAAGGACTATTCTCTGGGATGCAAACATTGAGGAATTAGGAAGTCCACCTGCCAATTTTTCACGCCTGGGACCATTCTCCAGCATCCACACATTGACAAATGAGGAAGTCCGTCTGCCAATTTTCCACACCTGACATATGCATGGTGGACAGGTCCAGGATATTAATTTCCACCCAAGCCAAAATCAGGTCCTTTTCTTACGAGCTGCACAACTTCTGGTGCCTTTTCTGGTGGTTGATGTAAGCAACGGCAATGGTGTTGTCCGACTGAATACTGATCTGGTGGGGTGGGTGGGGGTAATGGCAACTTGGCCCTGAGCTTCAGAATGTTGCTTCAGCGAAGACATTCCTCCGTCGACCAGGTTCCTTGAACCGAGAGGTTTTCCAGGACTCCTCCCCCCCACCCCCCAGCCTGACAGGCAGGCATCTGTCAAGAAAACCTTCAACACCACTGTGAAGAAGTACGTTCCCAATTCCAACTCTGGGTTGGAGATCCACCACATTAGGGCAAGCAAACAGGTTGTCTAGAGACTGAGCCTGTTTGTGCCAGCCAAGCGGCAACAACCTAGAGAGAAATTGTGCAAAGGGAAATGCCTCGAAAGAGGTTACCATCAAGCCCTACACATTCCTGCAATAGTGAATGTTTGGGCAACTTGCGGACTACAAGGTTCAAGTATGCATGAGCAGAGAGATAGGATATTTTCTGGAGGTAGGAAGGCACTGGACAGGGTGGTGTCCAAGGCCAGGCTCAAATACTCCAAGTAATGGAATGGTTCCACTGACAACTTATGGAGATTCAGGACCAATCAAAAGCTCTGCAGGATTTGTTTTGTCCATGAAATGCTGGACGAAAGGATTTTCACTGACTGCTCTCTGAGGTGAAGGTTGTCCAGGTACCCTATTATGGGGATGCCCTGAGACTGAAGCAGAGACAACTCAGCGTCCGGAAGCTTGCTAAAGACCCAAGATGCAGTGGACAGGACGAATGGAATGGCAACAAATTGGTAGTACAAAAACAAATAAGTGTCAGGCTTACAATCTCAATACAAGATGAATCATTAACACTGGGACATGATCACAATCTCTGTGTAAAACACCTTACAAAATATATCTAACACAAAGAAAGCATTAGTGATAATAGATACTTGATGCTGAACCAAAAAAATTATATCTTACATTACTATGTCTCTTGTAACAAACAACAATGAACGTGTGTGAACAAAATACAAATATTATACAAAAACAACCACCCTTACTTCATACAAACTAAAGTTTCCATAAGAGATAACCCAAAAAAACCAAAATCCATGACAGTATATTTCAATATCTGGACTCTTTCCACTCACACCAGAGACCTCTCTGTACTCAGAAGAGACTCCAAAACTGTGATCAACGAATCTTTCGCCAGTGAATTCCATCACCCTACAGCTATGGCTCCTCACCTTACAATGAGACCCTTTCTCAGGTCCCTCGAGTTATTCTCGTTCAAACTCGCGCAGGACACTCACACAGGCATTAGTCAACATGATCATCCGCTCCGCTATTTTTCAGATCTCCAGGGAGACGCTGAAACCAGCGCTCCTTGCAACTAAACCCATTCTCCGGGCTCACAAACTGCTCCTTTATAACCTCGGGCGGGATCACCACTCAGATACTGATCCTCACGAACATCCACTCCAGCCTTTTTTAGACCCCTAAAGAAATAACCAACGCTCCTCACATACACGAGAGACATTTTGCATTGAGATTGTAAGTGCAACGCTTATTATTTGTTTTTGTGTTTTGAATGGTAGTTGTATCTACTTTTTAGTGTTGCAGCTGATTGCACAGGGGCAGGGGATATTTGTTATTTGAGAGTTTGAACAAACTCATAGTGTTGTGATTCCTCAGCAAAATGCAGGCAACATTGATGGGCAGGAAAAATGGGAATGTGCAAATATGCACCCTTGATGTCTACTGACAGAAAATCTTCTGGGTGAAAGGAGGCAATGACAGAGCGGGTAGATTAAATCTGAAAGTTCTGCACTCCCGGGAACCCATTGACAATCTTCAGATTGAGAATAGGGCAGACCTTACTCCTTTGCTTGGGTGCAATGAACAGGTTGGAGTAAAAAGAGGACAGAGGATTTTGCTGCTTGAGGCTTAGACTTCTTTTGATCGAAGAAGGTGCCCTTGCCCCCGGTTATTTACTTCATATTAGTATCAAAGGATTCCCCAAACAGATGTTCCCTGGTAAAGGGCATGCATGCCAGGCACTTCCTGCAGGGGAGATCTGCAGACAACACTTCAGTTACAGAATCCACCTTACGTGGAGATACTGGAGACCCACCTGGAAGATTTGGTTTAGAGCATCCACCAGGCCATAGTGGCAACAGCATGTTGAATTGCAGGATCTGCATGGGCAAATAAGGCTTTAAAGAAGGTATGTAACCTGTTGTCCACGTGGTCTTGGAAAACTGCAAACCCTCTACAGGGACTTTTAATGTCTTGTTTAAACAAGAGATGGCTGGATCAACAACAGGAATAGCCCATCTGAGCAAACCATTTAGGAGGAGTAAACAGCTTTTTGGGGGGATCCCAGTCAACTTTACAACACCAGCTAAAAGTGTGTGTACAGGGAAGGTTTTGGCATTTTTATGGAAACATTACGGGGACCTTTGGTAAGGTCGATGCAGGCAGCTCTAACTGTAAACAATCAGGCACCACGTCCACAAGGACAGAGGTATTGTCCACAAGCTTAGAAAAATCCACAGAATTGGGAGCAGCCCCTTTTTCTTCATTGTCTTCTTCCTCAGAAAGTGCACAACCCTACTGAACACTTTTGGGATGAATTGGAACTCTGATTGTGAGCAAAGTGGTTTCATCCGCCATCAGTGCCTGAGCACACAAATAGCTGAATGGCTATTATTTCCCACATGTACCATGCAGCCAAACCTAGTAACATCTAAACACAGAAAAAAGGGATCTAGGAAGCATAAAAGTTGTTTATACTTCCCAGATAACTTCTTTTGTGTTTAGTGCAGGAGGCCCATGTGCATGGGGTCTCAGTATGACTGCATTTACAATGTGTTTGCCAGGAAATGTTTTACAAAATAAAAAGATCAGGTATTTACTCCAAATCCAAATATATAAATAACTTCTTTAGAAAAATAAAAATGTATCACCGATAATTATCAACATAAATTTAAAAGGCACTCCATCTACATTATTATTACACCTATGTATCACTAACAACATGTATTTTCATGTATATAATATTGCACCAATAACCACCTTGCAAGTGAGAGACCTTGTACATGGTTTCTTCGTCTCTGGATCTAATACTCCACAGTGCTTATTTGGGTCAAATTCTCTTTCTAGAAGACAGATACGGATTAATATGCTTACACAATGAAATCACAAAAGTTTATTGATTAATAAAACAACAACAAATATGCATTGCTCCAGCCAAAACATTTTAGCCTTGGCTAGACTTGGAAGGCTAAAAACTTCTGTTGTGTTTCTACGGTTTTCCCTCATTACATTACTATCTATTTTATATCTGTTAAGTCTGTGACAATGAAGGTAAACATTTTCCGACTGTTCTCCTACAATGCTTGTAAAAGGCAAGTTTGGTTTTAGACTGTGTGTCTGGGGAAATATAAATTAAAAACATATTAATTGCATTTCTGAACTAAATGTATATTTGCATATTTCTTTAAAAAATAATACAAAGTCAGAAAAGTATCTGGCGATTCTACGAAAAATCCTGTGAGCTCGTAAATTCCTGTTACACCTGACAACTCTGCCCCTGCTGTACTAAAATCCAAACCAGTGCAATCAGCCTTGTCCTGAGTTGTTCCCTGTGCTTTCCCTCTTATGTTACTGGAGATGAAGAGATGAGGAGCTGTACTGTAGTCCAGCAGGGAAGAACTGGGCTGGGTTACAACACTGCTTATGTGTGTAACAGATTATGTTTTATGATTTCTTTTTTTTTGTGCTCAGAAATACACTTCAAAGACTGAGCTTTGTGAACATAAGCTGTTGCTGATACAAGAAGTAAATTGTCTGCCAGCATCTTGTACTTGCAAGTCAAACTACAATGTTGTTAAATAGTGCAAACATTGAATTGTTTGCTTATCTCTGGTTCAACCAATGTCATAAAATAATGTTTACTTATCCCATCTCATAAAGAAGCAGTATTGTTTTTCCTAGCAAACAAAATGATATATAATAAAACAAGGCACTTACCTGAAAGTCTTTTGTAAGGCTTATTACTGTTTTTGGTACCATTTTGATGCTTCTTATCTAAAGCATTGATTCCCTTCCCATTCAGTATCTTTTCAGGTGAGGCTGGCACAGGTTTTGGTACCACAGGCTGCTTTGTGAGGGAGGATGTTGAAGAAGTTGTTGTGGTGGCTGAATTCATTTTAACATTGGCACCATCTGTTTTCACAAGATTTGGGATTTTCTCGAGGCTCACAACAGGAACAGGGCCACTGGAAAACAGAATTCTTTTGTTACTTATAAGGTGACCATAAGCCATCAAAATAATGCCCAAACCTATGAGAAAAGGCACATCAATAACTCTTTGTGGTTAGAGGTGAAACATAACTGATATGAGCCAAACATGATGGCTTCTTCCTGTAAATAATGTATAATATTTTATCATAATACCACAAGTTGCTATGGTTCACAGAAGTCATCAGGATAACAAACTTGTGGTCATACAGGAACTCAAGTGAAAAGTCAGTTGGGTTTCATAGCAGTCATAGCATACACAAAATACAGGTGTTGGTAAAACGCACTCTGTAAAACCACAGCTTGAGAAAAGAAAAAAAAAACAGATACCATCAATGGGTAAGAAAGGAAAGATGACTCAAAAGAGAAATCTACAAATGCACTATACAAGCAACAGGAATGCATTAATAAAAAGCATTTAGTTAATCAGTCCCCCATTACTGAATGTAAAAAGAGCATTTCTAGTAATACTTTGGAAATATTCTTTCAAATCTTTTAAAATATTTAGACATGAACAACATCCTTGTACAGAGGACAGTATTCCGATCCTTCCAGATAACAATGCTTTAGAGTGTAAAGACAAAAAATGTGTTTTATTACAAAATTATTCTTTTCATTGTTCATTATAACAATTTACAGCAAATACCTGACTGTTATCTGCCAGAAGCAATCTTTTTAGCATAACTATACAACCTTAAAGAAAACTGGCCTGCCAATGCTGACTCTACCTTGCGAAAGCATTGAGTTATGGTGCCCATACACTGGCGGAAGTTCGGCCGGTTTTTAATGTACCGGCCGAAATTTGCACAGTGTGTGGGGCTGCCAGCTCCCTTTCAGCCAGCATTCCTCTATCAGCTGATTGAAGGCGCCGGCTGGAAAAGTTTCGATCAATCAGAGCCGGCAGCCAATGAGCTGCCCGCTCTGGTCGGGTATTCTGACAGGTGCCGCCGGCACCTGTCAGAATACAATGTAAACAGAGGGATTCCTTGATCGACATGCTGTTTGTGTTGCTGGAGGAATCAGGTCTATTTTTTTTTCCCGTTCCGCTCGCGGGTTGAGCGGGAAAATTGATTAGTATATGGCCAGCCTTAGAGTTGGGGCTGGATTTACCGTGTTTCCCCGAAAATAAGACACTGACTTATATTTTTTTTGGCTAAAAAAAAACACACTAGGTCTTATTTTCAGGCTAGGTCTTATTTTTTTTTTTTTTTAATGTACAAAAATGTACACTTATTCATGTAGAAAAGTCTACATGTATTCATGTAGATAAATATGGTGATCAGGGCAATCAGGGGTGCTGTACCTTTCCAAGAGCAATTTGCTAACCAATCGCTGGCCAGAATGAGCGAACCGCACTTTTACTATCGATTCCTCACAGGCGGAGTGCATTTGGTATCACTCCGCCTGTGACAGGAGTCGGTGCTATAGAGGAGGCATCGGCTTATGCGGCTCCGCTCCCTCCGGTGCCGCCACGCTTCCTCTACCGCTGCCTTCGTTGGCACTGCTGATCCTCTCCCGCGGCTCTTCAAGTTCCCCCTTATGCCACGACCGGCCCTGGAATGGTCACAACTAGGTCTTATTTTCGGGGTAGATCTTATATTTTAGCAATTCCCAAAAATAGTACCAGGTCTTATTTTCAGGGTAGGTTTTATTTTCGGGGAAACAGGGTAGATAATTCTCTACTCTAGGCCAGCAACCTTGTGAAGCCTCCAACAACACCCCCTTCCCCCCAGCAAGTGCACACATAGGGAACATGCACTGTTCTACGTAGATACAGGTAGAAAATGTGATGAAAGTCAGACATAGCAGATTAAACATCTATTGTATTGAAAAAGAGAGTGGCCCAAATTATAAGACAAATGTACACATAATAAAGAACTCCTCAATAAAGGATAATTTATTAAATAAGTGTACAGAAACAAAGTAGGCATCATAATGACTTAACCAAAAACATTTCCACAGAAACACAATCACTACCACACTTACAACCAGAAACATGGCCCAATTAGTGCAGTCCACAAAGAGTACAGGGAGTGCAGGGAGCTCTATCTAACCTATAAATATGGCTTCTCATAGCTTACACAGGACATTCCTTTGCTCACAGTGGCTGATCAGAGCAAAGGGGGGAGGTGGCTAGCGAAAGGAAGGCGAGTACAAGCTTTTGGTGAGGAGGGAATTAAAGTGAACCTGTTGCTGTGCCCAACAGACAAATCACATGTTCACTTTAAAACATGATTTTATAATAAAATTAGACATGCAGCAATCCATGTGCAAATGGATGGTTGCAGCATAGATGATTTATCCATTGTTGAAGCATACCCTATACTACAAAAATCTATGTTTTCCCTATGCTGTATCATAAGGGATCATGAAGTGCTTTACATAGTCTGTTGCAGAATAGTTTTCTCCTGCCTTCTCCAAACTCTTCACCCTTTTGTGAATAACCCTGTATGTAAAACTTTTTTTGACAAAATAAATATATGTACTTTTAAAAGCAGACCTCACATCCAGTGACCCATGCAGAGCAGTAAGCAGGCAAAAACACAAACTGTGTCACTGTCTGACATTTTTTACAGGATGAAAAGCAACACAACATGCAATGAATGGTCTTGTTGCATGCATGTGTGGGAGTAAACGGCATTGTTGCAGCTGTGTATTTGGACATTATTAGCAGCGGCCGAGTAATATTGCTCAAATTAACATGGTTGGTGGCAGTTATGTACAAATATAAGGTTCTGTGAGCCTATTAATGACAAAGGGCGATCAGATTTCATAGTGGCCTGAGAGGCCAAGCATCGCCACAGCAATGCTAGCATCCTGGGCCACAGCCATAGACAGTCACCAAATCAGCATTTTCAGTAGATTACCAGTGGGCGCTTATGGTTAGATGTTTAGTGCCTAACGAGAAAATAGGTAAACCTAGCTTTAGCATAAATGCTGAGTACTACCAGCCTTGTAGTACTCAGACCACTTGACAATCAGGTAACAGCTCCGTCCTTCTCACCTCTTAGTGTACAATGGGTGAACAGGGTGGCAGAACCAGTGGCTTTGTGGACAGTGTTATAACACTAATCTAGATTTGTCTAGAACATGGCTAAACATTTATAGCGCATACTAAATAGTATCAGAATTAACAGTATGCCCTGTATTCATTACTGTTACTCTAAAAAATAAAAATAAAACCAAGTAAGTGGGCAAAGATAATCTAAGTGATTTGTTTCACATTGATTTTAATTTCCTCTGAAGGTCCAATATACAAACCAGATGACACTTACAAAGTAGGTTATATGACCAGTCCAAGAAATATTGCAGTTCAAGCAGTTCCTGATGTCTCCAATGCAGCCACTAGCAGGGAGAGTTTGCAGAGAGAAGGCTCAATTCACAAAGCTTTACCACATGGATAAAGCTCTCTAATGTACAAATCTGATGGGAATTTTCAAATCTTATTGAGCTCAGCTCAAAATAACTGTTCCTCTAATGAAAATAAGTTGTGTTATCCTAGTGTTTGTGAATTGAGTCCAATTTCCTTCAACTCTAATTGCTACTGATGGTGAAACAGGAGGGGCACAGTTAAGTAGCAGGTTATTAGATCACTATTTTATCAGTAAAGGTGCCCATACACGTTACAACCCTCGCAAGACTACTGTCTTGCGAGGGTTGTAAGCTAATTAAAAGCTCGTACGATCTGCCCATCTTGGACAGGTACATCGTACTTGCGATCATCGAAAGCCCGCCCTGCTGAGGAGCGGGCTTCCGATGACCGCAATGCTGAACGGGCAGTGTGCGCACACCGGCCCATTCTGCAGTTGTCGAACGAGCACGCCACTAACCCGCCGACAATCGTACGGTTCTCGGCGGGTTTTCTAGCATGCTCCTTCAACAAAAGATGTGCGACCGTACAGTAGAAACGTAGAAAAATGTCACCAGCACACCATGAGTTGAAAAAGCAAAATATTGTATTGCCAATAGCTGTATCTCATTGGCAAGCGCTTTCGGGGCCTCGCAGGGTCCCCTTCATCAGGCTTAGAGATAAAATGTATCAGCACATGTATCAGCAGTCGGGAAAAGTACATGGTGAAACAAACAGCCTTGTTGGTGAACAGAAACAGGCAGGAATCTGCAATAACGTTTGTCAAAATCCTTGCCGTGTACAATGATCACCCAGAGGGAATCAATTTTTCTCACCCAAAGTGGAATTACACTAATGTTAAAGGAGAACTATGAGGTGAGTGCTTTTCACTCACCTCATAGTTCTAGCCGACCTGTGACAATGAGACTGTCACAGGTCGGCTCAGTAGATCGGGAGGTGAGCGAACACATACCGGTGTTCGCTCACCGCTCGATCCTGTCACGGCTCTCTGCCGTGACAGGGGAGGGGCTGGATTCCCCCCTCCCCGCTCCGCCAGCGCTGACTGGTGGATCAGATGGGGGAGGGGGCGGGGACAGCTGGCTCTGCCTCTAGATAGGCACAGGCAGCGGTCAGTCACGCAGCTGGGCGGATCCCAGCACAATTGTCGGGATCTGCTTCAGCTGCGGCGTCTCAGTATACCGCGATATACTGCGGCGTCTCAGTATACCGCGAGCGACAGCTCGCAGTATACTGAGCTTAGGGTGACGGGAGGACGCTAGTTTGTGTCCTCCCGTTACCCTAAGGAGAACTATGGGGAAAAGACTTAACCCCATAGTTCTCCTTTAAAAAGCAGTACTAAAGGCGCTGTCTTTTTTACCTGAATGTATTCTCTGCATTAAGGAAAAAAATGTCCTGTACCATGCCATTGCCCCCCACCTCCAAACACTTACCTTTGGTCCATGTTCACTGCCGCCAGTTCCAAGACAATCTGCTGCTTCCCTGAAATTTTGGGTTGTAGAGGATGGATCCTAAGGGCAGTAAGGACAGGGCAATGATAGGCTGCTGAAGCTGCCTGTCAAGCTGCTGTGAGGAGGAAGGAGGGGGGAGGAGGAGCATGGCTTGCAAATG